ACGCCACATAGCCTCAGCAGCTGAGTGCGCCGTAAAGCCGCAATGGCGACGAGGACTCCGCTGAACTGACTCAGGCTCCCGACCAGCTGGGCTGTGCGCTTTGTTTGGCGTCCTGAGTTGCTTGGATGGTTTTTGTTAGCTGCGTTGAGGTTTCCTACTGTCCTATACATCCCAAAGTGGTCCACCCAGTTCTGCATTCTGTGGTTGGAGGAAGCCTTCTCGCATTCGAACTGATGCATGAAAGTGCCGCGGGTTTTCTTCAGTGAGACTGTCTTATGACAGTGTATATAACACACACGCACACACACACACACACACACACACACACACACACACACACACACATATATATATATATATATATATATATATATATATATATATATATATATATATATATATATATATATATATACATGTGTATGCTTTGCCGACGCTCTCATTGAGGTGTAGTTGTGTTCACAAACGTTGCTCCGGCCATGTCCTGCGAAATAAGGGCGATCAGTGAATGGATGAAGGAAATATCACAATAAGTGCACGAGGCCTGTTTTGGGGGTCACCCGGTATCAGCTGTTCAAAATTTTGGCGTCACGTGGTTGACGCTCTCACAGCAAATGATCAGGGATGAATGGTGCACCTCCCAGGTCGCGTGCTGGAGGATGACTGCACTCTGGCGGACTATGACATCGAGAAGGAGTCGACGTTGTACTTGTCACTGAGGCTGCTCGGTGGTGGAAAGAAGAGGAAGAAGAAGAATTACACCACCCCGAAGAAGATCAAGCACAAGCATAAGAAGGTTAAACTGGCCGTCCTGAAGTACTATAAGGTCAGTAGTGCTCTGCGCTTGGATGTCCATACTAAGTTGTGTGCGGCGTTCTGGAAATCACGATTTGATCGTCCTTATTTTTCAGGTGTGCTTGTGGTTTGTGCTACCATTCCTTTTACCTATTGGTCCGTCATTTCTACGAAGCATGTGCATGACAGTGCCCACCGAGCGCGGCACGCGCTCAAGTCTCATATACGTAACGAACGCCCCAGATTGCTGGGTGGCCGATCACTGTTGGCTCCGGTGGCATGACCCAGACGCTTTCCGTATCTGACCTGGTTCGCCACTGCCGCCAGGTGGACGAGAACGGCAAGATCAGCCGGCTGCGGCGCGAGTGTCCGGCCGAGTCATGCGGCGCCGGTGTGTTCATGGCCTCCATGCACGACCGCCAGTACTGCGGCAAGTGCTACACCACGCTCGTGTATAAGCAGCCAGAGGACAAGTGATCCATGCGTCGTCAATAAATTAATGCGGACAGAGCGGTTGTTGTGGTGAGGCGGATCGCAAGGACGGGTGCGATGATCCTGTGTGTGTGTGTGTGGTGGGGGTTCTATGGTTGAAGCGGGAGCTGCGTGGCTGCTGCTGGTGCTCTGGGTCGTCAGCTGCCGCTGTCGCGCCTAACAAGATCAACATTTATCAGAGGAGCACGTTGGTGAGCATACGAGCCGGATGATAAGCTTGGCGTGAGCTTGAGACTAGGCACGTTATGAATCCGATATACCGGACACCAACACTGTGAGGCACGGAGCGAGGACGAAGCGGGTGACGCGTGGGACGGTAGGTCCGGCGAGGCGCCACGAACGGCTGTCGCTGTAACGGCTGTAAATGGTTGTGCGTCCTTTACCACGGTGTCCTACCTTCACTGTCCAGCTGGTGACGATGTTTCACACTCGCCCGAATGGCTGGCTGAATACCCTTCCCTCGGGTGAGAGACCAATTTAACCCCAGAAGTCTCAGAAACTAATAGGGCTAGGAACACTAAATTTTTAGGGGGTGTTGGCTTGTACGTGAACTTATTTGTGTTCGTGCTTAAGATTTCTATGACATGGCCTTCGCGTCAATTAAGGTCAAACAAGGACAAACATGATCTCAGAAATCTCAGAGATCTCGAGAATCGCGATCTTAGAAACTAATAGAGCTAGAAACACTAAATTTTTACGGTGTGTTGGCTCGTACGTGAACTTATTTGTGTTCACGTTTGAGATTCCCATTACATGGCCTTTGCGTCAAATAAGGTCAAACAAGGACAAACTTCAGCTTCGTGTCTGAATTGCCCCCAGACCTTCTCACGCAACCGCCGTGAGCCTAGGTACCTGTTTTAAGCAAAATGTCACTGGTTCTCATTTGAGGTCCGAAACTTTATTTGACATCTCGGAGGTCGTGGTTACTAAAATTATACCCGACTGCTTCGGTTTTTTGCATTTGAATAAGCGCCAACGATAACGCTAGGCAGTATGTTTCTAGAACAAAAGGTCGACTTGGCTCATCTAATGTCAGTGACCTATTCCGACCTGAAGACGTCCATAGAATGTGTTTAATACGGTTCCTGTTTTCAATGAATTCAAGGTGAGTGCCAAACACTGCCCTATACAGCAAGCTGTTAAAGGTAAAATAGGTTGGTGATCTTGGTATGACCTCTGTAATTGGCCCTAGGTCAACGGAATTGGTTAAGTCAATTGTGTTGCCTAGGAAACTATCACAGAGATGCAAGGCTTCGCCTAACACTCCGTTGTTGCGTCAGATCGAACGAGTCCCCAGAAATTGTCTTCGCTGGAATCATGGCATGACTGAAGCTGCAGTAGGACAGCGACATTGCACGGTACGACTTAATTCATGTTCCAAACGATTCGCTATTCAGTGGTCTAAAGCTAGCAAAATTTAGCGAGTTTACGCCGCGCCGCTTGGAAATCATTCCTGCAAAACCTTTGGGAAGTCAAATTGGTCCCCCACCCCCCACCCGAGCGCGTGTTAAACGGGGCGAAAACGAAACCAGATGCATTGAGCGAAATGAACTGCATCCCATGGACGCACGCCGAAATTGGTAGGGATCCCGTGCAGCACGGGAATTACATTTCAATGACCTGCCAGATATCAGCCTTGAGAGCCCCCTAGTTCTAAAGCGGATTGTTCCACATCTGAGGCATGCTTCAGGAACATCCTTTGGTGAAACCTCAGGGCATCCCCAGATCTAGTGATAGCCTGGGTAGTGCCACTGCGGCATCGCACTGGGTAGTGCCACTGAACAGAAGGAGCGAATGCACACAGTGCGTGCCATTGCGTTCACGTCATAATATTTTACCAGAGCCACTGTGTGCTGGCCATTACGCTACCGGCTGGACTGGTCTCAGCCGACAATGCGCCGTCAAAGCACGGAAGAGGTCATGCCATTCCATCAGCGATTTTGATTGGCGCCTGATAGCACTCCCTCAATCACATGATTGGAACACCGTTACGCCTGGTACTCACATATGAAAGCATTTTAAATTGTTCTCTATATTTTTCAATCTGGCCCCGGCGGCCGGTTCGCAGGCACTGAGCGATACGCCGCTGGGGTTTCGAACGAGATGACGTCATCGGAAGCAGTTCTTGAACAGGCACTTCAAAGCTGGAGAGCGGCGCCAACGAATGTTCGCAAAGGCTGACTCTGCGAGCACCAAAAAATCTCGCATTGCATGCTGAATGTCGCGCTGCCGGCCGCCTGGGTTCTGTCGGCACTGAATCGTCATGACGCAGAAAAGGTCATGTCGTCCGATCAGCGATTTATTTTGGCTTCCGGTGGTGTTCCAAGAATGACATTTTTGGAACATGGAAGCGCCCACCGCACACGCATAAAAATAAGTTAAATTGTCATCCGTGACTAGAAATGTTAGCGGCGGCCGGCTCGCCACCATTGAGGTACGCTGTTGGGGGTATCGACCGAAGAAAATGATGCTGTAATAAAAACGGCTCTTGCACGGGCAGCTGTTCGCTATAAAGCTGAACGAACGAATGCACACGGTGGCTGCCTCTCTTCGCTTTAAAGTATTTTTCCCCGGGCCACCATACGCTGGCCCCCGATTCTCCGATAGCAACGGTATGCGTGGTGGAAACTCGTACACCAGCTTGAAGAACGTAAATCCAGTAGTGTTGTGAACACTGCTCCTAAATGCGAATAAAATCAATGGTAACCACTTGTCCCAATCTGACTGGATGTCGTTCACGTAATACGCGAGACAGTCTCGAAGCGTTCGGTTAAACTGCTATGGCCGTTTGTAGCCCCATGAGCGGGTGTGCAGCGCAGCTTTGCGACACCAAACCTCTGACGTAGAAGTCGGATCAGCTCACTTGCAAAGCTGGTACCCTGGTCATTCAAGATCAACTTCGGGACTGAGTAACGCGTAAACAGTTCCATGAAGCGATCTGCCATGTCACGGCATGTCACGACTGGCCGGTCAGGCAAGCTGAACACCCCCACCCACTCAGTTAAGAGGTCGGACACCAGAAGCATGTAGCAGTTCCCTGAACTGGTCACGGGCAACGGTCCCAAAATGTCAGCTGACCACTACACGAGGGGCTCCCCAATCACAGGCGCATGGCGCACGCACGAGCGACAGTATTCCCGCACGTCCTTCTTCACATTAAAACCAGAAAATTGCGCGTGATTCTACCCAGCGTCCGATCGACACAGACATGTGCCGCTGCAGCAATACCGTGTGCGAGTTCAAACACCCTTGGACATACAGCGCCAGGCATGACAATTTGAGGTTCGCTGTCCGAGTTCGTAAGATAGTTCACAAGTCGCGAAAAGAAAAGGTAACCGAGACAGGTAGAATCTAAGCTCAAGTCCATCCTCGGCAGCCTCGATTGGCTCACCTTGAACGCATTGAATCACTTTCGAGAACATCGTCCCAGGCCGTTTCCTCTCGCAGACTCCGCCAAGTCACAGGCTCCGGCTGCACATCACCAGCCAGTTAGCGCCAGTGGGGGGCAGATGGCGCTCGGGTGCCAGAAGTAGGTGGCATTCGCGCATCAGCGGCACGTGCGGCAGCTGAGAGCCATCAGCACGCGCGGTTCGAGAGCCAGGCGCGGCTCGGGCTCAGCATCGCGCGCCGCCGCTGCCGCTGCAGTCAGCCGCGGAGCCTGGGCCCTCTGCTCAGCCATCGCCACGCTGGAAGCTCCACCTGTTCCCGACATTGACCCTGTGTTAAAAACAGTCGGACGGCCCGGGTTGACCAGCACCTCTGGACCCTAGTCTCTGGCGAGGCTGCATGACGCGAGTCATGAAAGTCACGGCATCTTCAGTCGCCCTCTGCTCGACGCCGCTCTCAACCTTCCCGGAGGCGTCCCAGGACAGTGCGTCCACGTGTGGAATGTCGACCCCACGACGATGCTCCCCCTCAAAATAAAACAGAGATAGATGAAGGATCCTCCTTGCTAAGCAACCGCATGAATCATTCAGACCACACAACCGCTTAAGACCCTGGTGGTCTGTCACAACCACGAAGTTCACTCCAAGGAGGAGATGTCTAAAGCGACGCGCCGCTCTGATGACTGCAAGCAGGTCGTGTTCTGTCTCGTAGCGACTTTCTGCGTCAGTCCAGTTTTCAGGAGCGATCACCACCACAAATTCTCTGTCAGCAGCAGAACGCTGAGTTAGGCTAGCACACCAACCCTGCATGCGGGTATCGGCGGTCAATTGGAAAGGCAGACCAACCTCCGCTGGTCGAACCACTGGGAACGACGCGATCGCAGCACGCAGATCTTCAAAACTGCCATCACACTCCTTTGCCCACCAAAAATCAGTCCGTTCACTCGTCAGGGTGCTCAGTGGAGCGGCACGGACAGCGCTCTATGGAAAGGGATGCCTCAGATACCCTGCAAGGCTCAGGAACCGGCGTACCTCAACCCTGTTTATCGGCTTCTGGTAGTCAGTGACTGCTTGCACGGAACTCTCCGTTGGCTCGATGGCTCCTTCACTGAGGACGTACCCCAGAACCGGGACCGTGTTTGCAAGTATGCATGCATCGTGTTGCACGTGTTTGCAATACGATGTTGTATTGGAAATTGTAAACAAACTGGTCAAATGTTGGCACCCAAATATGCAAATAAATTTTCACCATGCATTGCCGGGAGGAACCGTTGAAATGTACCAACCTCCAATTCGACGTGAATATTTGATGGAACAGTTCTTAAAAACTTGACGATCGGCACCAGCTGACTCAACCGATAGCCGCAGTCATCCGACAATTTTTTTAACCGCCGTGTCAAACATGCATAACGCGTGTGCTGCGTTGTAGCCTGCAGGCCGCATTACGGCTACCAGGCGGGGGTTTCCAAGGCAGCCTTCAGCAGTCGCGCACACTAACTTACTCTCTTCGCTCCCAAGGCTATACACGTCCTACAACGTCTGGGGCCACATAACATCGATCCTGCGTCGATTGCCGAAACGCGATTTCGACGATCGACACAAAAAAACTAATAATGATGCCCAACAAGAACAT